CCACCCCCTCGCGATTGTAGTGAAGCAGATATTGATTCCAGTCGCTAGAGAATCCGCCTCACTTCTCTCCTTCCTTCCATTGTATAGCACATGTACTGTACAATGCAATGCAATCGCCGGGAATAAGGCTTTTTTCTGATCAACCAACTCCTCATCTCTCCTCCGCTTTTCCTTCCCAAAGGGGCTAGCCAGGCTCATTCAAGGGTTATCTTGCAGATCATCGTTTTGAAAATGTACAGGAATCGCAGTGGATATGGGGAGAGGTTGCTGGAGCGGGGACATGAAGTTTAGTGTGCATACCGGCATAGTACACTATAAATTCAAATAAACAAGCATGTGAAAAGTTGCGAAATGTAGACCCTAAGCCTGCAAAGGTGGCCGAGCAAACTGGCATGGTCTTTTGCTGTAAAGCTGCTAGGTAATGCGTGAGTTACAACAGCTGGCCCTGTTGGAAAGAGATGGTTTGTCCTATTGAAACATTGAAAGGGGGGATTGCGGAATGAAGTTGGCCTGAGTGTGAACTCGTCAATAGTCCGCCTCCATCTCGTCAAGGTTGCTTCAGTGTTCTCAATGCTGTGGCTCACCACGCCTTTTGAGGCTGTCTTTTTTTATTATACCTATTACTCTCCGAAAACTATGAGGTTCGCGCCACAATAGTTGGAAGCAGGGGGCGCACCAAGGCGTGATAACCGTAGTTCGCTTCAAGGCATGGGACATTAAGGTCCATGTCTAACTTCCCGAAAAGTGAACAAAGCTTTTTTTAGCGGTAGTGATAAGCCGGTTAAACAGGTCTACTATGCTTGAGGTCAAATACAAGTGGGATCCATCAAGTGAGAATGAGGCGAGCTATGCACGCTCATATATCAATCACACCTTCAAAATAACATTGACGTAAAATAAAACTGAATGACCTGATTGAATGATCGAGTGTATATCGAGATCAGAAGATGAGATGAGAGCCAAATCGGCAAGAGGGAAAAGAAGACCCCACGAATAAAAAGGAAAAAGGAAAATACTATCAACAAAACTTCGAAGGCGACTCGAACGGCTTTGGGGGTGAAACAACCTCGCCCCGTGAAAAGGCACGTTTACCTTGGAGAGGATATAATCCTTCATTCGATAATGAATGGACAATATTCCTAACACGTGGAAGACAAAAGTTGGCGAACTTGAGATAGGACGGGAAGTTTGATTGTCGTACTTCATGTGTATCGTGTAGGCAGGCTTCAGATAGGGCGTCATCAAGGGCGGTGAATAGAAGATACATATGAAATGGACGATCCAACTGATAAACAGGTTCGCTATGTGTATAGATAAATAGGAGAGCATAGGGCCAAGTGCTTGTACCGTATGTGTATAGATAGTACTTGCACAAGATATACTTGCGAGTCGGATGAAGAGGTATAATTTTCATCCCCCTCATCCTTTTCCTTTTTTCTTTATTCCTTGTTTTTGTGTGCGACAGGCTGTAAGGCGCCGATGCAATGCAATCCATGTCATTGGCGAACCAACAGGGTGAGCACGTTGTTTGCTACCCAATACGCCATCTGAGGCTTACGTAGTGTATAGCGTAGGGCTTGTCCCAAGGCCCTTTGTAGGAGCCAAAGAATTGATAGAGAACGAGTGGTGACACAGGCAAGCGGACATTTATCGCGTAAACTATGAACTGAGATGTTATAACCTCGAGCTTAGTACTGACCTTCATGATCACGTGATTCACATTCAAAACACCCAGACAACAATATAACAATAATAGTATCAAGTTGATCGCCAAAATTTGAATTTAGAATAATATCTATCGAACTGACAGGAAGGGATGAGTTGCCATTGGGCCTCAAGAACAGTACGCCGTAGATCAAGCCTGGGCGTCAACTGTGACAAAGGCTCCGCAAGTGTCGAGATGCCTCATAGGTAGCAATCAACGCCCTAAACTCGGCTGGAATTCGCAACGTTGCCCCGTTATTTTGGACGCCAACGCGACAAGCTTCAACCGTACCGGGGCTCGAGGATGGTCCGGGCAACCACCAACAGTATCGACCCTTTGAGACACCGTCTCCTCTGGGCGTTCGACCACTCAGCATTGCGGCATCCCATCGACCACGACATATGGCGTGCCCACCTGTCGTTTGCTATAATATTTTTGTGCAGCACAAGTCCTGCACGTCGCCAGAGACAGGTCCAAGTCGCCTCATGTGTCGTGGGCAAGGAGGGCGATGCGTCCCAACCCAGTCAGATTCGGGCGTTTGATGGCCGGAGCTGATTGCTCGACCCATACAACGTGGAGCGGGTTTCCCAGACACTCATCGCCTTCACAGGCTCAAGTCGAGAATGGCCAGACCAGGTGACAAATGATGTTCCGTCCATGTCACTTTCGCCCACTTGGGAGTGTCTTTGCCTTTCTGCAGTTTCCATTACAACGGCACGCCCGGTTGGTGATTGTCAGCATTCCAATTGTAGGCACAAGGATGTCATCTCTGCTGCAAGATGGGGGCGATTCGAAACGAGGACATCATCAGGGATCCCATCACATCCATACAGCTCTCCTATCGTTCGCCTCCTTTCTGTAACCGCTTTGGGAATGGAGTCTGGGGAAACGCCCTTTTATCTTACTGGAACGTGCGGAAGCTTTGTGGCCAGGGTGCTTTACGCCTCCTGTGTCCTAGTGATGCACTGCATTGCCCATCTCTCCTCCCCTTGCGTAGCTTTTACGGCATTCTACTGGCCAGCAGTGGAAATGGCAGGATCTAATCCATCAACGTTATTGAAGCCCAACAGGAGTTGGTATCAGATTTTTTTTAGCAATCAATGCCTGACCATCATATTCGAGATCAGCGCTTCTGGATCTATAAATGCTACTTATGGCCATCTCTGGTACGGCTTCTGGAATATCCGTTCGTTATAAAAGCCGCCTCGACGCTAATTGCCCTCCATCCTTAACTTTCCTCGATATAGCCTTAATCCCCATTCCACGGTTCCCCATGCTGGATATTCCGCAATTGCCTTTCTGCTTGGATTTAGCCACTGTCTGGATATATAAAGCCTGGCGTGAATTTTCTTTTTTTTGTTACCGTTACCTTTGCGTGTGAGTTACGTGAGCCGCCGGATTTCCAAGGTCATGTCTGATCTGAAGGATAGTTATAGGAAACAAGCCAGCCCCTTGGATATTGCCATCGCCATTAATGGATGCATCGTGACAATTATTACACTTGATATATAATCTCAATTTCTTATATATCAGCAACCTTTGATCTGTGGGCTTTTTCTTCATCTTTTCCACAGAGATATAATATATCATGTCCTCCACGGTTTCCCTAGGCCGACCCTGGCCTCCCTCTCCCAGTGTTGAGGATGAATGCGAATCCCTCTCCCGCGAAATCCTAGACCCATTGGTCTTAAACATAATGTTGAATAATGATACCGTCGTCCCGAAGGGAACTGTAGATCAGTATCCTCTCATCCTCCCCTCTGACATCGTTACTCCATGCTCAACACCAACGGACAAATGTGGAAGTCCCATCGACCCGAAATCTGCATGCAAATCACCCAACGGAAATATCGACCTTGCAATTGCTCAATCTCTTCCCAATACCAGTCGAGCTTCTGGTAGAGAACATGAGTCGAGTGTCTCTACTCCGCCTTCCTTTCATCATCAGACATCCAAACCCAATAATGTGCCATCGGAATTGCCCATCTATCACGAATCAAATATATCTTCGGGGATTCCAGATGTTCTTCAGCCTCATGGATGGTCAGCCATCAACCCGGCTGACTCACTTCACCAAAAGCCAGGCCTAAACAGACACTTCTCTGAAGGGGATGAAAAACTTGCCTTCTGCGGAACAACAGTCAGCGGAACAGAATGGCCCAGTGATGATGAATTACGGACGTCCCACGGTGCCATAAACGGTCGGGAGACCCTAAGCAACACCGTCCCGATCAAGAAAACGAAAAGAGTGAATTTTCAGCTTCCCGATGAACCTCCTGAGGAAAGAGTGTCACTGGAGGCCGAGCTTCCCCTGGAGCATGAGTTTGAGCTTCTTGACGGACCCACAACGGAAGTTTATACTTCCCGCGGTTCAAGTATGTATTATGAAGATGAATTGCCCAAGGATAACTACGACCCCACCTTCATTACGTATAGGCAAGATTACACATACCTTGCCCATCCTCAGCCACTAAAACTCAACTGCAACTATGGTGGAACACCCAGCAGAGTTTCTGATTCTGGATCTCCTGTTACCTCACCACTCAAACTGACTTCACGACCCCCAAGTCAGTCGCCAAGACAACATACTCCGAGCCCTACAGGTTCCCGCCTAAGTCCAATTTCTCGTGTTGCCTTAGATAAGAACAAGAAAATAATGCCTATCACGAATAAATATTCCAGAGCCAGCACGAATTCTTCTCCAGTTAGACGCAAAGGGCCTTTTTTATCACCCCCTTTATTGCCATCAGGCTATGAGATAATTGTTAGAAGAGGTAGCGACAAACAATCCCACAGGAATAGCATTCCAGCAATGACTTCATCCCATCTCCTATCCAGATCACGAAGCACAACAATTCCCTCACAGGTACTAGTGCGCCGTCATCAAACCATCGCGGCCGCTCCCCCTGTCATTGCACTTGCCCCTTGCCCCCGATCCATTCCCATGGCTGGCCATCAGGACTGGTACACCATCAAGGGCATGACGCACTTGGACATCTGCCCTTGTTGCATGCGCCAAATTGGTGGCTCCCGGTTCCGTGATCTCTTTATTCCCAGCATTCCTAAAGCCCGCGGTGAGAATGTTCGCTGTGCCCTCAGCCAGCCATGGGCACGCCTCGCATGGGTCCAGACAATGAAACTACAGCTCAACCACCTTGAGCTGCTCCAGCGCATTACCCTTCCCCCAAAGGGAAGCCGCGCATGCAGTGGTCGTAAACCCTCAGTGCAGTCTTGGTTCCGTCTTGAGGACCCTGAAACAGGCCGCAATGTCACTGATTTCAACGCCTGCTCCGCATGCTTCCGCAACTTGCAAATTCTCATGCCCTCACTACGTGACGCCTTCCGCGCAGGCCCACTCGTCCAAGAGCGCATTTGCGACCTCCGCATCGACAGCCCACGTTTCGTTAGATACCTCGACCTTCTAGATGAAGCTGCAACACGCAGTTACTCCGCCCCCCGGGGCCGATTGGACATGCGCGAATTTGTCAGATATGCTCGACGCAAGAGCAGCATCCCCGATTGCCCTCGGGGTCACTTTGCTACGGGACCATGGCATTATATCCCTGAGCTACCGGAATTTACCATCTGCGAGGACTGTTATGATGATGTTGTCTACGATCGTTCTCACACTGGTATTGGCAAAATGGTTTCGCGGACCCCACAGCTGGTCCCTGGGCGCAGGGATCAGCAATACACATGCCAGCTGTATAGCCCGCGTATGAGAATGGTGTTCCGGGAAGCTGTGCAGACTGGGGACTTCAAATATTTGGCCACAGCTGCGTTGCGCAGATATGAAGCGGAGAATTTGTTCCGAGAACGAAAGCGGGCGTTGTTGGATGATGTGGCAAGGGGCTATGATAAGGATGCGGAGTTGAGGTGGAATGCGGAAGATTGGAGGAGATGCGAATAGCATTGTTTTAACCTTCATCCAAGACTGATCTTTCTCTATTTCCGCTATCCTTTTTCCCTATGCCATTTTTTCTGTTTTGCATGGATAAGTTAACGGGTTCCTTTGCTTGGCTGCATTCCTCTATTTCCTCCTCAATGGTTTTCTCTCTTTTTCATTTCAT